AGTATTTAAACAGTTAAGCATCAATTTAATGTTTGAGAAATCTATTGTGCTTGTTAGAGTACTTTTTTAATCTTAGGGACTATAGTGAACCCTATTGATAGCTAATCCCATGAAAATATTTTTAGTGGCAAGAATTATATCCAGCGAATTCACAACTGCCTTCTCTACACTATAACATTTTGGTAACAAGTGAACATATTTCTTATTGAACTACCATCTCCCTGGCTTTTTTTCAATAAACTTTGGATTTTTTTTTTTGGCTACTCTGGCTTCTGTCAAGTAAGAGTTGGATGAAAGCCTTGGATGAATAACCTTCTACCCAAGCAGGCTAGATGGGCCCCAACTAGCCCAAGTAACCTTTCTTATGTTCTTATGTTAACAGCAACCCTGATATTTTGATATTGGAGTTGTAACTTCCTGAGTATGTATTGGTTACAAATCTGTATTTCAGTGTTTCAGGACAAGGTTAGCTTATTTTTGAAAAAAAAATGCACTTTATCCACACCCTGTCTTGCTAAGATCCACATAATCAAAGTTCATCGCCACATCCTCCATATTCAATTTACAATCCCTCACTTTAGTACAAAGCTAAAGATTTACTAAAGATTTAATACATTTGCTAAGGGCCTAACTGAATATATGGATTTCTGAAAGGCAGGTGTTGGTGCTGAAATGTATTTATTTTCTGACATTTTATGATTTCTTATTATTTATCTGGTGTTCTGCCTACATCGATATATAAATCTATAAGGTGCCTCTATTTGCTTCTATAATTAGGAGCAAGGTTAAGTAGAATGTACTGTGACACAAAACTGTAATGAACGATAAAAGTGGCATCCTTATAAACGAATACTATTTTTATAATCAAGAAATGAGATTATAAGAGATCCCTTCTAACATATAATGTATGGCCATTGGAATCAAATCAAAGCCTACTTTCTAGTTCAAAATTGTTTTCAAAGATTCAAGATTCAAGATTTCTTTATTTGCCATATACATGTACAGCAAGTGTATTGGAATGCTTACTAGTTCAGCTGTACCCAGTCACAGTAGAGAAAACAAAATAGGCACAAACAGACAAACAGACATGGACAATAAATTTAGACAATAGATGTTATAGTACAGCCAAGACAGGACATAGTGCAAACAGTGCAGTACCTTAAGGTGCAGGTGCTAATATGTGCAGGTACTAATTTGAGCTGTTTAAGCTCTTTAAGGGGAAGAAACTGTTTTTGAATCTATTCGTCAGGGTTCTGATACTGCGATACCTTCTGCCAGAACCTCCTTCAGGGGTGAAAACAGATCATGGTCAGGGTGAATCGGGTCCCGAAGTATAGCTCAAGCCTGGTTGTGGCAGCGGTTGAGATATAGCCGGTCGATGGAGGGTAGCTCGGTCCCAGTGATTTTCTGCGCGGACCTCACAAGTCTCTGTATGGCTTTTCTGTCCTGTACTGTGGCTCTACCGTACCACACCGTAATACCACACTCTCTATCGTATTACGGTAAAAATTGGTGAGTGTTGTCTTGCTCAATCCACACTTCCTTAACTGTCTCAGGAAGTGAAGGCGCTGATGGGCTTTAATGAGGATGGCAGCGGTATTCTCTGACCAGCTCAGCCTCTCAGTGATCTGGAGGCTGAGGAAGCTGAAGGTGCTGACAGTTTTGACTGGAGCCCCATGAATGAGGATGGGTGTGTGATGCCCACCGTGCCTCCTGAAGTCCACAGTAATGCCAATGTTAAGTGTGAGGTTGTTGTTGTGGCACCACTCCACCAGCTTTGCTACCTTGCTCCTGTAAGTGGATTAATCATTGTTGCTGATAAGACCGATTACTGTGGTGTCATCAGCAAACTTGATAATGCGGTTGCTGTTAAATCTAGCAACACAGTCATATGTAAATAGAGAATACAGCCGTGGGCTCAGGCAGCAGCCCTGGGGGGGGGTGTGTTGAGGATCAGAGGGGATGAGGTTTTATTTCCAATCCTCACCACTTGGGGTCTGCCTGTCAGGAAGTCAGGGACCCAGTTGCAGGCCCAGACCCCTGAGTTTGACCACCAGCCTGCCTGGCACAGTTGTGTTGAAGGCTAAGGTGAAGTCAATAAATAACATCCTGGCATAGGTGTTCTTCTTGTCCAGGTGCTCAAGAGTAGTGTGAAGGCCCAGTGAGACAGCATCGTACTGACCTATTATTCCTATAAGCATACAGCATGGGGTCCAAGGAGTCCAGGACAATACTGGTCATGTGTCCCATCACCAGTTTCTCAAAGCACTTCATGCAGTGGCACGATACTAATCCTCTCTGAAGCACAGTGGGACAGTACACAGGGATAGTGACATGTCAGATATTACAGTGAAGATGGGGGCCAGCTGTGCTCTGCATGCCTTTAAAACACAGGAGGGGACACCATCAGGACCGGCAGCCGAAAGCTCTCCGTACCTGTTGTTCAGACAGCTGCAACACAAATTCCCCAGGCTCACTGGGCGTTTTGCGTGAAGGGTCCATGTTGTGAGTGTCAAACCTGGCATAGAAGTTGTTTAGTTGGTCAGGCAGTGAAACATCAGCTGTTGTTATAACACCCATTTGTCCTTTGTAGTTAGTGATAGCCCTCAGGCCATTCCAGAGGTGCATTTATAGAAAGAGTATAGAAAGTATAGAAAGAGTGTTTGCTGAACAAGCTTTCCATTAATGTTAAATTTTTTTAAGAAAACAACATTTCCGTTTCATACAATTTTTTTTTAGTGCATTAAAATGTATTTAATAATTATGCTTTATAGCCTGCTCTTTGTCATGACAGTTCCAAGCTCTTGTGTTGAATCTGCTGTGGGTGGCCTGAAGCACTTACACTGTTGTGCTCAATAATTCATGACTACAGGGCTGCTGAAGTTCTGATAGGTCCCTCAAGACCGTTAAGTAGCTGCGTGTAACAGATAGTCCATGTCTTGCTTTTCTTCTGTTTTTACTCGGAGAAGACTTAGTTTTGATTTAACAAAGATATGTTGCTGCTCTTTCTTCTCTGCAGTATGAATAGATTAGAAAAGGCATCTAGTCATATTTATATTATTTTAATCAACTTAAACGTGCTTCAAAATGATTCTCATTCACCTTTTCTATTAAGGCATTATGGATCACCACACAACATTTATAGGGACCTCTGAGCTGTAGGTTTTTTAGCTGTAAAATACTACTCAGATAGTTGGTTTACTTGTATAATGGAACCTATGAGGTATAATTTCTGTTCTATTTTTGTGTAAAATTAAATTACTTGAACAGGAAATTATTTAATATGTAATTATTTGGGGGGGGGGGGGGTTCTAGGGTAATGCTTTTCTCAGAATGACATGAAAGGTCGGACTGAAATCTATTTTGGCAAATAAGTGCCTGAGTTGGTCAACGTCAACTGTCAAATACTGTAAATGTCAGATAACCCATAAAATCTTGGATGTAAATTCATACAAAAAGGTTTTCATCTGCTTAAGCTCAGAAAGACTGAAAGAATAACTCTTCATTTTGGTCATTTAAAATTACATGTTTAGGTTAAAATGTAAAACATTGTTGAAGTATGCAGTGAACGTTGAATACATCATTTGGATTTTCAAGTTATTGTTTAAATGCCATTGTTCTATGTATGTCTCTTTTTCCACACCTCTCCCCCACCCACAGTTTTTACAGAGTTCTACTTTTGACAGCACTGAAACAAAATAGAAGAAACTATTGTTCATGTGACTGCTGATAAATTATATTTATTATTAAACACCGCAAGCTCAGTCTTACTTGAATGTAAGCTCTCATAAGATTTGGTTGCTGCTAGATGCAGGGAGGGGTGTAAGCAAGGTAGAATCATTGTTATTTGTTCAAATTCTATATAAAATGTACCATACATTGCTGTTTTCTACAAAACAGCTGGTGGTATTCTGTGTAACAGATGGTAGAACAGAGGACTCTGGCACAGTACAATTATTGAGTGTGATCTCTGTCCCCCCTTTGGTTATAATTATTCAAGATAGCATATAAACAACATGTCAAAGCAAAAATCTAGTTGTGATCACTTTTAGATCTCTTCAAACTTTCTCTTTTGAAAATATCTTATTTCCTCTAGTGGGCTTGTCAAATTCTACAAGAACCTTGTACACACCTAAACCCAACTAAGTGCGTTGAGTTCAGTCTTTATAAGATAGCCGTGCACCAAAAAATTAATCATTCCTAATATGGAATTTGACAACTTGATTTAATCGGTTACTGTATACGTCATAGTTGAAATCATGATTATAAAATAATGAAATCATGGCTATAGGTTTTACCAGTTTGACAGAAGAATGAGGTGTTTTCACTTTGTTACACATATTACTGTGACACTCAGTCTTGCTAAAAGTAAATTAAATAATACTTAATAATTTTTAATGAATTTAAGGAATGGAATGGTGTCATTTCAGTTGGTACTGCTGCCTCACCGCAGAGTGAAGTTTGCATGTCCTCCCCAGGCCTGTGTGGGCTCTCTCTGGGTGCAACGGTTTCTCAGTTCTAATGACATCAAGCTGTATCATTTAAATAGATTTCTTATATCACACCGATCAGTGTCTCTAGCTGTCTCTGTATGTACACCCAGGATCCAGGATGTCTTCTTGCCTTGTACCCCATGCTTCTGGTTTTGGCACTGGCTCAGATCTCTGCTGTTTGTGTGACTGTCTCTCTGTGTGTCTGAGCAAAGGTCTCCAGCATTTGAGGTCTTGTGCAACAACCCATGTCCACAGTGTCCCTACCTGTCCTGGCTTCTTCACACTAATGTTGTCACAAACAGCATGAACCTGTTATTAAAAAAAGTAGCACTCTCTGTTCATGATGCTGATATGTTCTATTATTTTTCTCAGTATGGATGAGAGCAAGGTTTCGGCACAATCTAAAATAAATATGATGTACCATTACAACAAACACTATAATGAACTACGTGTTTGTACTGAATGCTCTGTATGACACTTAGAGTTTTAATGAATACTGTCTTTCAGAACTTCCCGAGAACTGGACAGATACGAAAGAGACTCTTCTGGAAGGCATGGCGTTCAGTGTGAAATACCTGGGAATGACCCTTGTGGAACAGCCCAAGGGGGAGGAGATGGCTTCAGCAGCTATCAGAAGGATAGTTTCCATGGTGAGTGTTTCCTGTACCTCTTGTGGAGTTAGGTTTCCTTGAGAAGACAAGAACCAAATTAAAAAAAACAGCTGTAGGGTTGCAATTTCATTTAGTTGATGGGTTTTGTAATACATTAGGGTTGTGTTATATACTGTAGTTATCATGGTACTATTGTGTATTGTATAGTCTATTATATAACTAACATCACTTTATTAACCCTTTACAATTTCTTGCATTAGGAATTATCTTTTCACATACCCCAGCTTGCTCTCCATGAGTCACACAGACAGGGAGAGAGCCTGGGGTCAGAACGCAGGGTCTGCCATTGTATGCAACCCCTGGAGCAGTTGGGGTTAAGGGCCTTGCTCAGGGGCCCAACGGAGTAGGATTCCTCTGGCAGCTGCGGGATTTGAACCGGCAAACTTCTAGCCACAGGAGCAGATCCTTAGCCACAGATACACCGCTCCGCCCCATGGGGTATATTACCCCATAGTCTGGTAATATAGTCTATTGCATACATATGTCACAACTACTTTGCATTTTTAGGGGGGCCTTGCTAACATTTTACTCTGTGGTGTTCTTGAACAGAAAGTGAGGTGGAGGCTAAATTCTGATCTCACATTTTTGTTTCCCCAAGCATAAAAGCTCCCTTGCTGAACATGGAGCTGTGCACATTTTTTCAATCACTTGGGGTTCCAGTTTCTTAGCAGACAGACGTGTTATGCACTCGGCAGTGCTGGGAACTTACCACTTGCTCATACAAGCTTGAAGCCTATGTCATACTGTACAAGTTTCTCATTCATTCCACGCTACACATGCATTCTACTTGGCGCCTGCGAGACTGCCACTGAACTTGCTTGCTCTTGTTCAATGACAGTGTTTGTTCAGCTCAGTGTTCAAAATCTAAATCAGAGTTTTGGGGATTCTTTTTAGGAAATGTGACAGTGCTGATTTCTGACCTGCACTGTCATTTCCTCATTCTGGTGAGTTAAACACAAACTACTAAGCAAACTACAGGTAGTCCCCACCTTACAACATATGCGACTTACGACCACTCGCATATTATTTCTGTGTCCTGGCATTCGGTCATAACATCTAACATTGATGACATCATCAGCCTGTGCGACACCTTTCTGCCAGATGCCATTGTTTAGGTGGTTAGCAAGCAAATGGCTAGCAAGCCAAAAAGTGAGTGGTCTGGTGGTGCTGTTAGGAAAAAACGAAAGCGAAAGACAGAAGATTTAGAAATGAAAGTGAACATAATAGTGCAGCATGAAAACGGAAAATCAGTATCAACAATCGTACAAGACTTTGGCCTTTCTCATTTGACAGTATCCACAATCGTAAAGGACAAGGAAAGAATTTGTGAAGCAGTGAAAGGATCAGCGCCTATGATAAATGAAAAAAATATAACAAAGCCATATTACACAATGTAGCATTTATGCATTTTAATTCTTTACACATCTGTGTGGTTCGTGTACTATTGCAATGCACACAATCACGACTTGCGCATCTGTATGATCGGAATGTGGAATGAACACATAGCATACATATCATCCACCATTTTCCTGTACTGTCAATTCTGTAGATACAACTTTAAAAACGTTAATGTAATCAAATTGAATGGATAGTGAATTTTATTTAAAAAAGGTAATATTCTAATCTTTATACTTAAAAAACTAGATCTTAGAAGCTGAATTTGTTATCTTTTGGTGAAGTACTTATAGAAGTTCTTTCCATCTGGTAGCAGTGTGATTCTTATTGCCGCAAATTACATCTAAGTAGAAGAATTCAAAACAGAGGATTTATTTAACGTCCACAGCTCTGTGGCATCCTGAGCATAAAATTAACTAAAAATAGTAAACCACTACTTTTTTGTGACACCACTATCTTTACAGAAACAATGAAATAGCAAGGTCTCTTGCTTTGTCCAATAATCAGACAGTAGTACGTGGAACTGATTTCCTCTACACTAGCCATAATACTCTGCGCTGCTTCCAGGGCTAAGGTCCCAGCCTGAAACTCTGTGCTTGATTCCACTTGTCCTTGACAAATTCATTGTAAAATTAAAACAATGTTAGAATTTCACTCCCAGTCGCATCCTCTTTTTAAAAACATTTTCCTTTCTGATAAAAAAAGTTTTTTCCCCAATGCAGTACTTAGTTTTTTTAATTTGATCTGCATTATAAAATGTTCATTATGTACATCGCCATAAATCATTTGTGACCAAATGCAATAAGAAAAATAAACTCTTAATGCAAGAAGCGTGTCAAAAACATCTGTAGGATCCTTTCCGAAAGAGTGAGTGCTTTTGAACTGGATTCTAACATGTTAAATTTTTGTCTTTGTTGTATGTTGTATTGTTGTATGTTGCTGTCTGTAGTTTTTACAGCTTTTCATCATTAAAACATGAAGAAATGTATTTATAATATAGTGATATACTTCTGCAAATCTCCATGCAAAGCTTTATAAACATTGTATGTGGTCAAATAATGTACAGGTGTGGATAAAATTCAAGAAAATCAAATTCCAAAAAGGAAGAAAAATAAATGAAAATGGTTCAAAAAGATAATCAACATCTTGAGTTTGTGACAAGCGTACCCTTTTCTATTTTATGTCTTCTGTGCTTCGTACGGCTCTATCTGGTATAATGTACGATGTAATTTAATACCATACCAGTATGTGCTGATAAAGATACTCTTAGTGACAGATATTGTAGTTTCTGTAGTGATACAGAAATATATATACACTGAATAGACATTTCTGCTTGAATTTTATGATTCATATTAAGTTGTTTTTAAAACTATAAAAAACATTACCTCAAGATGTGAAATGTATTGTAATGTGATAGATTCTGTGAGGATAGACACACAAAGTCAGGCTCTTTTTAACTGAGAACACAGCGCTTTATTGATCGGACATGCATCAGGCACAGCAACCACAACAGAGAGAGAGAGGCAAACGGGGTACAACACACTGGGGTCTAATTGGGTACAGTTACACAGGTATAGGGCGGAAATGGGGTACATGTATAAAAGGGGTGCAAAACCAGGGAAAGTATTTACAGTATATGAGTCCGGGCGATCTCACGACTGTGTACACCGGTTCCACAATTGGTCAGCTGCACTGGCCACTGGCTCTCCTAGACCCCCCCTGGCCACTACTACTCCCATCCTGCCCCTTGCCGTGTACCCCAGCCGGGTGCTCTTCAGCTGCAACGCCAGGCGAGGGTGCTACAGTATTTACAGCACTGTACTTTTTCTTTTAAATAGAATCCTCAGAACACTTACCTCATTTGTCTTTATTAATGTAAACTACTATTATAAAACAAACTATTTTTGCCCCCTCATTCTGAACAGGAAGGAGTTCATAATGTGATTAAGGCTTAATTTTTTAGTTAATATTTGCAGAAAAGCTTTGTGACAATACCTCAACAGTATAATCATAGCCCTATAAGAGTGTAATCTTAAATTTTCATGTTTTAAGTGGTGTGACTCGATTCATTCTCATGGACAGAACCCTTCTGGGCTTCCAAGTTTTGTCATTGGTCCCCTCTTGGGGAAGTTTTTGTTTCCATCTACTCAGAGTTTCACATAGACAAATAAAGATAATACAATCAGGGACTGCAGTGTTCAACCCCACTCACTTGGTGTCACCAAATCACGCTTCTTAATTTCCTTCACTTATCTTCACTTAAAGAACACAATCAATTCTGTTCTTTAAACTCTTTACTCTTGTCAAAAGTGTATACTGTTCTCAAACAACTTCACAAGCGTAAACATTCTTCATTATGTGGCAATACCAACTGATCCTGTTTGGCCAGGACACTGCACAACCAAGCACGCAAGTGCTCATGACACAGCAGCAGGTCCTTTTTCCTCTTTCACATCTCTTACTCTCTCTGAGACTGCATACCTGTCTGCTGTTGTCATAGCCTGTGAGGACTCATGGTACCTGGACACCCTTCATTGTCAGTTAAGAAGAGAAAATGCTCTGCTACCTTTCAAGGCATTGCCCTACTCTTCCAGTTGTTCATGGAAGCTGTCCAACCCTGTTCTTCAGCAGTGCATTTCAATCCTGTTAAGCCTGGTAAACAAACTACCATGCAGCACACCTGCCTAGCACTTGTGATGCCTCTTAGTATATCTGAAATTATTTTCTCAGTCATTCCTTGCTTGCTGAAACCCCTAAGCCTGTGAGTCACCCATTGCTAATAAGAGCATCCTTTGGCCCTCTCTTTCTTCCATACTGGAGCCTAGGCACAGACTGAAATACTTGCCTTTCTGGCTGTTCTTAAAGACGTCTCGTTTGGCCCAGGGAAGTGGCCAGTTCCACACACAGCCATTCCTATCTGCTCTTTTCCCTTATATGGAGTCTCAAACCCTCTGCCATCTGCCAATTACGGGATTCAGCCCAGCATAAAACCATTTATCCTGGTTTTTATCCTTAATAGTTGGCTTTCTCTTAAAGCCACCTCTTACTACCTCACAGGCTGGTTAAACTGGAATTGAAAAAAAAGATCTTGATGAAATCAATTTCAAGTTCACATTTATTTTTCATTCCAGCCATATGCAAGTATACAATGGAACGAAAGATCGTTTCTCCTAGTCCAAGGTGCAAGTACAGGCAAGACAGACAGGACACTGACATAGAAATTGTAGAAAGGATACACATAGTTCAAAGTGCAGATAGTGCAAATTACAAGGCAAATACATAATACAATATACACAACACACTGGGGGTATTTAAACCCTGTTTCTGGAATTGGGGTGGGTGCAAGTAGATTCCAGGGTGTTGAGGAGCCTGACAGCCTGCGGGAAGATCATTTGTTTTCCTAAATGATAGGAGGGCAAAGAGTTCATGGGAGGGGTGGGAGTGGTCATCTACTATACTGGAGGCCCTGTATACGCAGCGTTTTGTGATAGGTGACAGAAATGGAAGGGAGGGAGGGTCCAATTAATTTTTTAGCTGTTTCCACAATTCTTTGCAGGGTTTTGCAGTCTGAAGAGTTGCAATTCCCAAACCAAACAGTGATAGCGCTGGTCAAGGTGCTCTCAATGGTGCTTCTGTAGAAAGTGGTAAGAATGGGTGGGGGAAGGTTTGCAGGTGCAAAGCTGTTTTTTAAAAAATCTTTGATATCCCAATAGTTCTTTATCTAAGTAGACTTCTTTTGCAAATGGTTTCAAGGGCTGCATTTAGTTAACAGCATCCACTACACAAATTTCTGAAGGACATGGTTTTCATGCATTGGTGCTACTGTGATTATAGTATAATACCACCTAGTCTTTTAACAAAACTTCAGTGTGGGTAATGTACCATGAAAATACAGTATGTTCTCACTGTCATGTATGAATATTAGTTTGTAAAGAAGGTGAACTTGAATATACAGTAGTTAAATAAGAGAGTAGGTTATGCACTTGCATAGATATTTTCAACAGATGACCATCCATCTCTGTCTCCAAGTATGACTGTGATCTATTAAAAGCATGATAGATTTTGCAGCATCTTGGCTTTGGCTGTTGTGCAAATAGCAATTGTAAATGTGTGATGTTATCTGAGACATTTTTTCCTTAATATTAACATACTCAGGCAAATGTTTATTGAGTTTTTATACGGAACTGTGAAAGACCTTGTTATAAATTATAAATCTGCATTTTTACCCCAGTGTATTAAAGAATAGACATATACCTGCTACAAAAATATTCCTGTTATCAGCATATGAGCATAATAGAAATAATCTCTCTATTTGGTTAAAAGAAAAAAAAAACATTTGTGCATCTCTGTTACTCATCAAGGTATTGAAAGTTATGAACCTTTTCAAAATATTGAATTTTAATAATACTGTGTACTGTCCAATAAAGTAATACTGTACCATAAACAGTAATTTGGTTTTGCACTTAAAATAGTCTCTTTTTTCTTGTTTCTTGTGTCAGGCTAGAGCCAGTGCAAAAAAGTTTCGGAAAGTAACGTTGACAGTTTCTCCGAAAGGGATCATCCTGACAGATACGGACACCAATGAACTAATTGAAAATGTCTCCATATACAGGTTGGTGACACACTAAAAAACTTGTTTTATCTACATTAGTTTTTTTAATTCTGATATGCCAGCAGCTACTGTACATCAGCCTGCAACTCACTGAAGCTCAGCAGGTGTGAGCCTGGCCAGTACCTGGATGGGACACCTCCTGGGAAAGCTAAGGTTGCTGCAGGAAGAGGTCTTATTGGGACCAGTAGATAACACCCTGCAGTCTTTGAGGATCCCAATGCCCCAGTTGTAATGGGGGCACAATACTATAAAAAAGTGGCGCTGTCCTTTGGATGAAACATAACACCAAGATCCTGACTCTCTGGGGTCATTAAAAATCCCATTACATTTTTCGAAAAAAAAAGGAGTTTTATCCCAGGTGGCCTTGCCAAATTTTCACCATGGTCTCCTAATAATCCCCATCTATGAATTGGCTTCATCACTCCTCTCCACCAATTGCTGATGCGTGTTGATCATACTTGTGCACTTGGGCTGCCATCACATCATCCAGGGGTGGTTACACATTTTGGTGGCGAAAGGGAGTCTTAAGTGTAATCTAAGGGAAAGGAATTATTATTATTATTATTATTATTATTATTATTATTATTATTATTATTATTATTATTATTATTATATCAGATGTAGAAATATGCATACAATGTATACAGACTGAAATATTTAATTAACAAAACTTGCTGCCTCTCAATTCTTTTTTATTTAATAATATATCCAGTAATAGTACAATAATATGTAGTCATGCTAAAATACTTCTATTGTAAGTAAGAAAATTAACGTGAGAAATATATCACTTTATTCTAGGGTGCATTATGTTTATCTGAAGTGTATCTGAAATTAGTACAATTAAGAAACTCCTATCTTGATGGTCTGTTCTCAATGGTAGTACAGACCTCAGATCTTAAGTGTTCTTTAGACAATTGCTCTGTTCGTTAAACAATAACAAAGTTGTCCTAGATCTCACATTATTGCTTAACAGTCATCAAGATCTATGGGTAATTATCAAATATGAACCATATAAGTGATTGAGAGTATAGGAATATATTTTTTTTACCAAGTTAATTCTCTGTGCATTATTTTTAAATTATTAATGTTTTATCAAAAAAGTACATATTTCTAGAAAAAGGCTTTGTTCCTGCAGATAAAGCATAATATTTGTTACTCATTCAAAATCTCCCCCACTGTCATGAAAAAATGTATTCAAATGCAATGAATGTCGCCTGGGATAATATTTGAAGGATACATTTTATATTATAACACTTTTTGAAAGATAAAAATTTGAACACAATCTTAAACAATCAACCTGCTGCCTGGGTCCTGTGTTTGATCACAACTTTTGGTCAATGTCTAGTGTGCTTTTTATTTCCATATTCGTGTGGGATTTGCTGGGTGCAGTGTATTCTTCCCATCTCCAAAAGACAAGCAGGATTTGAGTGTCTACTCTAAATTGTTCATTTCTGGGGTGTTTTAAACTAATTTGATAGACATTGGGAGTGTGTTGATAGTAGAACTGGCTACAAGATTCTGATGTGATACTGTATGTTGTGTCTCTTTCATTCACAGGGACAGTGGTTTAATGTTATAAGCATGAGCTTACTTAAGAAAGATATCGATTTTTTTTACTTTCCCTGTTTTCTCCTTGGATGGCAACTCCTCAGCAGACTGCAAGTGGAGCTGAAAAGAGTTTTGACTCTGAGGGATGGGGTATTTATACATGCCTTTGGTTAAAAACGGACCCTCTAGCTTGCTCTCATTGAGCAGAAGGTGTCCGCCATCACACTGATATTCTTCATTGTCCTAAATAGACGTGCTGAAGGGATCGTCCTTTTCATTTCCTGATCCCCAATCCCAGGAGAACAAGACTTCCCTTCCAGAAAACCCTACTGCACAGAAAACCCTAAGGGTACAAAAGGCTATCAGAATTTGGTAGAACTGTGGAAGGATTTAATTTTCTTTTAATGTAATTGAACACTTCTTACTGTGTATCCACAGTCTTCAGCAACATCTCTCAAGCATCTATGTTCTTTGTAGGTTTTTTAAACATCTGAGGATTTTATTCTAAGCCCCAGAGAACTACATCAAGTGCAGCTACTGTAAGCTAAGGTTTGGCAGATCTTTGATCATTATACTCAAAGCCTGGGGTCCCTTGCATCTGAGGGACTGCTCACAACATAGCTGATAGTGCTGATATAAGTCAGACTGTATCTATTATAACACCAATGAAGAATACCAGAATGACTGTATTTAACACAGCTGATAGAATATCCAAGCAAACACTCCCATTGTAGTAGGTATGAGACTCTATTCCATAAAGGAATACTACCAAAAGCTTTGCAATGCCTTTGAAATAACTCTCGAACATGTGAACTATTGTAGTGTTTTTGTATTTTTAATAATCTTCCTAGACCAGAACAATTATCAACTGCATTTTGGTTTGTTCCTAATATTTTGGTCAGGGGGGTGTATACATGTATATTTACTCCATGCAAGCACATGCTAGCAGCCATATCACCCTGCAACTTACAATTGGCAGCCCACTGAAGCTAAACAGGTGTGAGCCTGGTCAGTACCTGGATGGGAGACCTCCTGGGAAAAACTAAGGTTGCTGCTGGAAGAGGTGTTAGTGAGGCCAGCAGAGGGCGCTCACCCTGCGGTCCATGTGGGTCCTAATGCCCCAGTATAGTGACAGGGACACTATACTGTAAACAAGCGCTGTCTTTCGGATGAGACATAAAACTGGTCCTGACTCTCTGTGGTCATTAAAAATCCCAGGGTGTTTCTCGAAAAGAGTAGGGGTGTAACCCTGGCGTCCCAGCCAAATTTCCCATGCCTCCTAATAATCCCCCTCTATGAATTGGCTACATTACTTTGTTCTCCAGGCACATTCCCAGGCTAAAAGAAATATCCAAATCTGACATACAGCACTTAAGAAAGGAATATTTTCAATCTTGAACATACAGAAGACTTTGAGAGGACCTGATTCTTCAAATCCTGAAGGGCAACAACCAAGTGAACACTATGCACTTTTTAAAAGTGAGACACAAACCAGAGTACTCAAATTCAAACTAAGGGACCATCCTTTTAAAATGTAGAACATGAGGCAGTTCTTTTCACAACACGCCACACAGCCTGTAACACGCTACACAGCTATATTATCAAACCCAACCCTATCACTTAATTAAAGAAATGTGAGATGAGATCCTCAAATTACAAGCAACCAAACAAGCTAGATGGGCCAAATGGCCTTTTCTGATTAGCAGACAAATCTCATAGGTAATGAAAGTTGTCAGCATTTTTATATATATGCTGTATAGAAGAGGTCCCCTTTAACATCCTTAAAGGGGACTATAAAACAGCAACATTAAGCAAATCAGCGCTAAGTAGGGAATTATTACTTGGAAGACGTTTAGTGTGACATGTTTCTCAGATAAAATCAATGTATTTCTATAGTTATAGAGACCAGGGCATGACAGAAGTAAGTCATGAGTAGTGTACAGTACATCCATGTTTTCTTTGTATACACAGAACAGTCATGATTACTGTAATGGCCCATTAAGTTGAGCACTTAACTGTAATGTAACCTTGATTGAAACAGTATGTTTTAGAAAGACATAGAATCTGAAAGACTAGTGCGAGATTATGGGTGTGAGATACTTAAAAATATTTTTTAATTCAACATTTATGTTCAGTTTAATACGATATAAAGTAACATAAAATCTGCACAAATGATAAATAAGTAATCTAATACTGGACAGAGTTAAATTACTTTGATTTCTACTTATCTAGTAACATAGTATGCATGCGCTTCTGAACATTTCTCTGAAATACTTTGGGCACTTTGTGTTCAGAAGACATTAAGTAGGGGAATCAAATACATACAGTTATAAAATAACACAGAAATATATTTCTATAAACTTTGATGGACTGGTGTCCTGTCCATGCAGTATCACAGCTTGCACCCATTACTTGCTGAGATAGGCTTGGTTTCCCTGTGGCTCTTAAACTGATAAAGTGGTTTAGAATGGATATATATATATATTTATAATTATTTTTAGATAGTACAAAGCAATGATTTTACTAGATATTTGCCATTTTCTCCACTCTTGACTTTGTCACAGTTAAATATAATAAAAAACAATAAAATTGAAGCAGGGCGATGTTAAGTGAGGACCCCCTATATTGAAGATGTTAGAGCTCTGGGGTGCTGTGTAAATGTACAAGTAACAAAATAACAAATAGGTAAAGTCCAGGTTGAAAAAGAACAAAAAATCACAGTTCTGGTGTGGTGCCTTCTTCAAATGTGTAGGGTAACGATGGAGGGAGGAAGCAGGAATAAGAGTGAAACAGATATTAAAGACAGCATGACAATATGAAGAGCAGGGAGACGTGAGAAATGGGGTATAAACAGAACAAAATCTAGTAGGCAAATGGGAGATGCAGAAGGCAAAAACCTGAGAAAAGCTAATGAAGAGATTTGGAAAAAATAGTTGATCATTCGGAGCTTGTTGTAGCTGCAAACCAGTTGAAGGATAAGTAGGTCAGAGTAATTCTGACTAGGAGGAACAAACTGGGTAAATACTGTCTTGGAGAGATCATTGATCTTCACTGTTTTGACATATTCTCTGAAACAATTAGACATTTAGTTTTCCTGTTATGCCAATGTACAGTAAATGACAATACATTTTTGTAAGGCTTGCAAATAAATGACTGAAAGTGATGCTCCTGACTGATTTTGATATTTAATAATAATTCCTTACATTTATAGAGAGCTTTTCTGGACACTCCACTCAAAACACTTTACAGGTAATGAGGACTCCCGTCTACCACCATTAATGTGCAGCATCCACCTGGATGATGCGACGGCAGCCATAGTGCACCAGAACTCCTCACCACACATCAGCTATCAGTGGGGAGGAGAGCAGCGTAATGAAGCCAATTCATAGATGGGGATTATTAGGAGGCCATGATTGGTAAGGGCCAATAGGAAGTTTGGCCAGGACGCCGGGGTAACACCCCTACTCATTTTGAGAACCACTGAGGCATTAGGACCCACACAGACTGCAGGGTGAGTGTCGCCTTCTGGCCCCATTAACACCTCTTCCAGCAGCAACCTTAGTTTTTCCCAGGAGGTCTCCCATCCAGGTACTGACCAGGCTCACACCTGCTTAGTTTTAGTGGGCTGCAAATTGTGAGTCACAGGGTGATATGCCTGCTGATATTAACTGTATATTTGTGCTGCTGGATATGTATTTGTAGGAGATATAGTGACCAAAAGTGTCTGGTGTGGAGAGCTGTTTTGGACAGTAAGAGATCTGTGGACAAGAAGGGTGTGTAGATTAGGTGGTCTTTGGCATGATATTTTTAGGGGGAAGATTTGTTTGATGGCCTTGGGAATACAAACAAACGTCTAAGGGTAGGACAAGTGGAATACTAGTCTAATAATAATAGACTAATCTAGATGTAGAAATACCTTGAAGAGTTAATTTTCTAAGGGCTCTTTAAGATAAGATCACTTTATTGGCCATATACAATTTCTAGCATTAGGAATTCATATTTTTCACATATCCCAGCTTGCTCTCCATGAGACACACAGACAGGGAGAGAAGCTTGGGGTCAGAGCACAGGGTCAGCCATTGTACAGCACCCCCAGAGCAGCTGGGTTTAAGAGCCTTACTCAAGGGCCCAACAAAGTAGGATTCCTCTGTCAGCCATGGGATTTGAGCCGGCAACCTTCCAGCCACAGGCGCAGATCCTTAACCACAGAGCCACCACTCCGCCCCTTTTTGACTGCAGTGAAGACCTTGTTAATGCAAAAAGACAGCATTTCAAGGTCTTAATTTTAGAAGTCAGTCTCATTCCTACATAAAGGAGAATGCATGTTGAACTCTGAAAAATGACAAGAGTTTTTAGTATGTTTCTATATCAGATGAGATTGTATTATTTGTTTGCTGCTCCACTAATTTGATTTCTTTTCCCTATTGCATATACGGTACATTTTCTAAAATAATTTCTAATACTGTTGAACAAACTTCTAAACTTTGTACTTTCATGTTTTCAAGTAGATTATTAACCGGAAGAACAACATCAAATGAAATAATTCATAACTTGAATCGATTCTCAATATTTTTCACTGCAGCTTTTTGTTGTAAAAATCTGTGTAAATATCAAACCAGCATTGACAGTAACATTAATGTCAATAATGAAAATATTTAGTAACTTTTATTCCAGATACATACAGTATGCCAATGTTGCATATCTTACATTGTGTTTAAAAACTACTTAAAAAGACCTTGAATTGTTGACAGCTGTATTGTATTATCATGCTGTATGGGTCAGGAACACAGTATACGGTACAAGCTGTACTACTGTACTTTTCTGTAGTGTGCAGGAAAAACTGGGGTTGAAAATTGGTAGCACGCCTCTATACACAAGAGAAGTGCACTTCATTGAACTTACTTTAGTTGACTTTAAAAGAGTGTTTTCCTGCCAAACAAATCTCCAAGTCTACAGAATAAGGACCCACTTTCCTGCCATCTTCTGTCCCTTCAGAAGCTCCTCTAAATCCAGCTGTAGATTTCTTTTTTCAGTGTTTTCTGCCTTTGTATTAATACATATTTATAGTGAACATTATTGTGCACTGTTCAGCATTCTTGTGATGTGTCAGATGTCCTTTCTGAACCAAGAATCAATCTCCAAGTTACTAATATGGAAAATAAAAACAAGATAAATAGTATTTCGCTGTCTGTATTTTTAAAAGTAGTCACTAAATTTCAAATTCTAGATTTTATTCTTCTAGTTAGGTAAGCCTAGTGTCACATAATAGCTACTGAATTGTAAGAATTGGACAAAGGACTACAGTATGGCCTTGCATCTGTCTTTTTTCAGAATTTCCTATTGCACTGCAGACAAAGCTCAGGACAAGGTGTTTGCCTATGTTGCCCAGAGCCAGTTTAATGAGACACTGGAATGTCATGCCTTTCTCTGTCCCAAAAAGAAAATTGTAAGTATATTCAACAACACTATTGACAAGAATATTTTTTTTCTGCAAAGACTTTAAGGCTGTATCAAATTCAGCATTTCAACAGTTTAAGTTTGAAGTACTAAGCATTTAGTTAAGCAATGAAAATACTTTTTATTTCACTATATCTTGAACCTACATATTTTCTCCTTGAACTTTTAAGAAAAATAATTGTAAAAAAATAAAGTAATCAACGTGTAGTTGTGAGCTGCAGTTTGCTTTGTTCAATAGTTCTGTATCTCTTGGCGTGATGCATAATTCTAGGTGTGTGGTAAATTAGTTCAGAAGTTCCCAAGTGCAGTTGATGAATGGGAACCATTATATTGTTTTGTCTTTCCAAAACTGTGTTTCTGTAAAGAGGTAGGTGATTGTAGCAACTTTCAGACAGTCCTGAAATTACAGTGCATTCTCTTTAGGTCAGTTTAGATTAATTAAAACAGAACAAAATAACTAAAACCATTATTCATTTTCATGAATGTTTTCTTGAACCACATACTGTACATGCATGCACATCAACTTATAGAAATCCTCAGTCTTCTGAAAATAAATTAGATTTGGTAATCTAATGGAATCATAAAATGCCAGAAAAGGCATTTTACGAGTATCACATTTCTGATGAATAGTCTCTCTTCTTTCTCTAATAAGATTCTTTTTTAACCTTTCTTTCTTTTTTGTGGGGGGAATTTTTTTAGGCCCAAGCAGTAACTCTGACTGTTGCTCAGGCCTTCAAAGTTGCCCTGGACCTCTGGGAACTTGCACAAGAAGGTGGAAGAATCATTTTATTGATCTGACTGTTTGAAGTTAAGAATTAGTGTAACTGACATCACAAACAAGTGTACAGAAGCCAACGTAACTCTTTTGAAATCTTTCTTCAGTCTTATTGTAGAGTTGATGAGATGTATAAGATGTTTAATCCTTTTACATCTAAATCTACCTATAATGCAAAGTCAATGGAAATTTGTACTGAAGACATTAATATAAAAAAGTTCTGGAGCATTTTGATGACACAACATAAGGTATTATTCTCTGCATATCTTTGTTGTCTTTCTACCTTTTAATTGGCTTCACTTCCCTTTAGGTTACAAATGTACTGCTTTTGTTAAGACACTGCTGCCATCTAGTGGATTAATTGTTAAATGTATTTTGGTCTTGAACGTGATTTTAGTTGTACGTGTTTTAGAGTATAATTTAAGACACGACCTGCATTTTAAATTTTTTTCTCATTTCTGTGTAGGATTATGAAAAATGAAACACTTGTAAGAAAACACCAGAAAGTTCTTTTATTTTATTCTTTTATTTACAGACAAAAGCAAGAAGGTCCACCCATGCTGCTCCTGCTCAGAAATGGACTCCAAACGTGAACCGAAAAGCCACTGTGTCTCAGGTAAAGCAAGGTTACTTGTGCCTCTAGCATTCTGAGCTTTTCACCAGAAAGCGATCTAATTTTGTTTTACATCACTTTCAGACTTAGAAACAAACAAAGGCCTAAGCGAAGAAGAAAAGTTAAAGAAGCCTTTTTTCTCCTCATCTTTTCACTCCAAGTCACAGCACAACAGCCCGGTCCGAAGACCACCTATAAAACAAGACTCATGGGTAAGTGATCTTAAATGACATCACTGGTGTTTCTTCTAAGCACATGCCTCAGCCTTTGAACCAATGACCCAGTGTCATCAGTTCAAACTGGTTATACCACTAGTCAAGTGCAACCAGAGGCAGCAAATGTTTTACTGGTAAGTGTAGAAGAGTGTGAAACAGTGACTAGTAAGATTTCAATGATGTCAGTCCATCATGGTCCTTTATTTGTAAAAGATGTTTAAGGTGCAAGGCTGCAGGTCTGCATGTGCTCTCTGTAGTTCAGGCCATCAGCCTACACTTAACTCAGATCTAGTGTAGTCTATTATATCATGTGGAAAATAATGCTATTGAGCACTGTTTCCTGGTTTCCTCAGTTTAAAATCCACAACTTAATTGAAAAACACAATGGAGCTAACAAAGGTTTGATACTCCCTGTGTATGAGTGATTGACTGTAAGCATACGATTAAGCATATGACTGTAAGTACAGTATGTGTGCTTTAAAGTTTGATTACTTACTGTTGCCTAAACCTGTGTAGCTTGAACTGGACAGATACGAATACATTTTATTGGAATCCTGGTTTAGTTTCTGGTGTGGTATCTGCATGAAGTGTGTACAGTATGTTTGCCCTCTGATTTGGGTGGACTTCTTCTGGGAGCTCTAGTCTCCTCCCACAGTCTATAGTTATACTGGTAATAATAATAATTGTTCACACTTATATAGCGCTTTTCTGGACACTCCACTCAAAGCACTTTACAGGTAATGGGGACTCCTCTCCGAAACCACCAATGTGCAGCATCCACCTGGATGATGAGACGGCAGACATCAGCCACACATCAGTGGGGAACAGAACAGAGAGCAATGAAGCCAATTCATAGATGGGGATTATTAGGAGGCTATGATTGATAAGGGCCGATGGGAAATTTGGCCAGGACGCTGGGGTGACATCCCTACTCTTTTCTAGAAACGCCCTGGGATTTTTTAATGACCACAGAGAGTCAGGACCTTAGTTTTATGTCTCATCCGAAGGACGGTGCCTTTTTACCCTATATTGTCCCCGTCACTATACTGGAGCATTCGAATCGACACAGACCCCCTGCTGGCCCCGCTAACACTTCTTCCAGCAACAAACTTAGTTTTTCCCAGGATGTTTTTTTAAAAAAAAATTAAGATCAGATACAACTTGATCGGCATAACACAACAGATTTGATTCTTCAAATACAATATAATGTAGTGCAATATATGTGCAAAACTGATAATTTCATCACTCAGATTTCTGTGAGGTCCTCTTTACCAGTAACTACACTTAGCAGGAACATGTGGCAGATAAAATATACAAGTTAATTTGTGTCCCCTCTGATCTTACTGAAAGTGAAGAAAATTGAAACCTCAATATTTTCAACTCTTTCACCGTGTATTGGATTTTATCAAGCTTTCCTTTTGACATTTCAATGTGTAACCACATGGTGGAGCAAATGCCCACCGTACTACTCTGCTGATTCTCATTTTACACTTTTCCAATTAAAACCTGAGAGAAAGCACAAAGTGGAACACAATGTGGAATGCATTGTATGACTCTTGAAGAACATGAATATACTCAAAGTGGCTTATAAAATATAAGTCAAGGTGGCGTCTTTGTACGTTGGACTTACACAAACTATTGTTTGCTTTTATGTATTTTTTCTTTCTTCCTTTATATTTATTAATTTATTTTCAGGATACAGAGGATGGACTTGATGATGCTTTCTCCAGGTAGGTCTGGGCCTATTATAATATGTATAAAGTTTACAGGTGAGACTGAAATCATGCGTGATTCCCTTGACCTGCCACTCCACAGTGAACCCTATGGCAGTCCAGCAGCCTGTACCAAGATTCATTATCTTCTACCTTGTTCTTTATCTTGTTATTGATTGAGATCTGGGTATTGAGTCTGATAAGATAGGAAAACATAAGTAAAGAAGATAGAACCTAGACATTGTTTATTTGTTCCTAATATGTGCTTGTGTGAGGATGAAAAGATTAAAGAACTGTCACTTCAGAAAGAGCTTCACATCTCTGTCTTTTTCATCAAAGTTAAGGAAGTACAGCATCACAGAGATGGTTGATTTTCAGTACCTTGAGAGGCAGATAAACTTAAAGTTAAGGATAAAGGGGCAGAAAACTGGCTTGTGACACCAGAAATTAAAGGCCCATTTAGAGTTCAGTAGACATTTTGTAGTTTACATTTGTATTGTTTCTTATTTGGTTATACCCAAACAGAGTCTAATTCCATGCTGAAAAAATGAAAAAATAGAAACAACAGTTTGGCTTTGAAGCCTTTTTCAGGTGACAAACGTTTAGAAGACTCAAGAGCTGAAACTGTTTTCTCTTTTTTCTTTCTAATGTTCCACATGGAATGAACCTCTTCTTATTCCTTAGGATGGAAATATACCTTGTGTGGCACAGTGGAAGAGTGGTTAGCATTGCTGCCTCAAAGCGCTGGGGTCCTGGTTAAAATTCTGGACCTAGGGTGTTTTCTGCATGGGATTTGTATGTTCTCCCTGTGTTTGTGTGGGTTTTCACTGGGTCCTCTGGTTTCTTCTCACAGTCCAAAGACACACTAATAGGTTAATTGCCTTTTTGGAAAATTGGTCCTGGTATGAGTGAGTGTATGTCTGTGTTTGTGTCCATGTGTGTTCTGCAGTGGATGGGTATCCTATCTAGGGTGTACTATACCTCGCTTTGTGCCCCCTGTTTTCAGAATAGATTTGGGCTCCCCTGAGACCCTGTATTGGGTGAAGTGGTTAGTGAGTGGAAGACTGGAAATATACTTTATTACATAAAAACCGTTATCCCACTTTATTTGAACACCAGAGGTAATTTTACAGTATAGATCTACTTATCATCATGGAATTAACCTTTATTCTTTTACAGTTAACACACTGACTTAACTTCTGAATAATTCTTGTAACATAGTTTAATTAAGACATAGTGAACAAATGAAAATAGCTACCATAGGCATTACCTGTATCTATCTGAAACACATCTGTAGGAGAAGACAAAACTGCACATTTGCATCAGTCTCTCATTAATATACAGCATTTTACACAATTGGTCTTCAATTAATTAACATTTATCAAAAAACATTTTTATCAAATATTTATTAGACCTTAAGGCTGCTCAAAAAGAAAACATTCCCTTCTGTTCTTTTGCACATTGAGTGAGAGATCACGGGGGGGCAGCCAGGCTGAATCATGCTGAAATGTTACTCTCATACATGCATGAATTATTAACACTGACTTTATCTCCACTGACAACACAAGCAATACTCACATGATGCTGTACAAAGATTGAAAATGACTGATGGATAGTGGAGAAGTTCATTCCTGTTTGAGAAGCCTCTGGAGAATAAATGGTAGTTTTCTAAAATTGAGTTTTAGAAAATACAGCATTGTTGAAAGCTCATAAAACGTTCTCCCATTTCCAGGCTTAATAATATGTATTTCAGATGTCAAAAGCTGAAATCGACAACATACGTTATCAGACACTCCATTGTGTTAAAATTTTAGGTCATGAGCCAGAGAAAGAAGAAGCTGCACTCGGGCTCATCTACCATAACAGCCCGGGCACATACAGTATGATTCTCTCATGGTTGTCTCAAGCCATGTGTCACACGAGGCCACCTGTGTTTTTAAACAAAAACCCATTTAGTAGAAGCAATTGGTATAAAGTCAAAGCAATTTTGCAACTTGTCAGGGCCATCGCATATTTGTGAGCCTATCCCAGAAAACAGCAGCAATAGTGATAGGTGCTTTTATGTCTGTTGCACAATGTGTAATTTGAAATGAAGTATGTTTGTACAGTACTGTACTGTAGGTATAAACAGGTGATGTGTAGAATGACAGGGCTGGCTGGATATGGAGACAAGGGATTGCCATCAGATGAATTCCTGTTATCACTGGCTACATTCATTAAGAGAATATTTTTCAGAGTGTGACTCGATTTTGAAGGCTGGGGTAACATCACTGTAAGCCATGTTGTAAGGTTAAATAGGGAGTTTTAATCATTTCCTTGTCCATTAAACAGTAAAAGGATGATTAGATTGATTGATGTGAAATGAAGTTTGTTTGGAATTGTCTGTAGTACAGACTGAACTCCTAGATGAACTTTCTGAATTAATATTTTTTTGCAATGATAATTTGCAATGTTATGTCTGAACCTCTCAATTTCTCAATCCTTTTTCCCACTATGTAGGAGAAATCTCTTGCAGTGTTTCATAGCTAGCAATAATAAAATGTAAAATAGCTCAGTTAAACAGACGGTTATGCCGATATTAATGCTGTGGTGTGTCTTGGATCTATTAAAAATTAACATAATGCTCCACAGGGCTCCAAGTCATATCAAGTCATATCAAAGTTCAGGATTTCTAAATTATCTCCCTGTGCATTGAATTAAACAGTGGCATACTCACTATGTGCAATTTTAAAACTCATAAATGTTCTCCTACTTTAACTGTCTGATATTAAAGTCAAAATCAAAATGCATTTTTTCTGAGTTAGAAACAAATTACTAGTTTTGCACCAGCTGTATTTTGCTACCGTAGCAATATGTTTATAGAATGATAAGAGCGATTCTTCCTTAATTCTATGCTGGACAGCTTTATCTGTGAAATGCTAGGAATCAGTGCCGTTAAATCATTCTGTTGAATATAAAGGTTAAAAGTGTATCCACGTTGTAAGTGTAATGTTGTGTGGCTCCATGGGATTTATCAAGATGTTTGTAGATTATGTGGTCAGCCCATGGATTCAGATCAGCCTGTGTAAGTGTCAAACCTGCTGTGCTGAAAGACCAGAGCAAAAGATTTGAGTGCTCTTCACAAGCCCTATGAGTCACTGTAGTTGACCCAGTTCAGTAAAGCTGAGAAACCTTCTTGTACTGAAGAACAGGAACCAGCCTCTTCTTTCTAAGATGGTGTTTTTCATTAATAGCGTTTCTTTACTCGTTGTGAACTTAATCAAGAAGCCTATAGGATGTGCAAGCACATTCAATTATTTTTAAACTTTTAAATCTGTGGCATTACAAATCCATGTATTTAAATCACATCTGTTTTGTTTTTCTTCATTAATTCATTTTATTTTTGATAAATTCATTTGAATTTTATTCCCATAGGATCTCTTTGCAAGGTTGTTGAAACTAGTATTTCTCTTTTATCTGGCTATTATGCCTTCATCAAGTCTGAAGCCAAAGGGTATATATGATCAAGCATATATGAGAATAAACACTGGCTGATAATTGCTTCCTTCCAGGCAGACATAAACACTTTACATTGTGAAGCTGTCCATGTACAGTAGGTCAGTACCCTGCCACACATTTTTGAAAGCAAAACCAAAATTGTTTAGAACCTATATTACTGCTGAAACAGGTGGACAGGCTTTCAGTTTTCATGTGAGTCTCTGTATCTATGCTTTTTGTACTGTAGCAGCACAAGTGGGGCTCCAGAGTACAAAATAATCTCTCTCATGGGAATGTGTCAACATTTGCTTCTGTTCTAATTTTTCATGCAGCAATATGGATTGTGAAGATGTGGACACAGGTAAGTGAAGTGGCACAGCAGAATTTTGTTCATGCGTATAATTCAATTTCTTACACAGATGTCTTGAGAACCAAGAAATGGGGACATTATATTTTTTTATATAATGAAAAGCATCGTCTACAGCATGTTAGCATTTCTGTCTCGCAGTTCTTGGATCGTAGCTTTAATTCTAGACTTGTACCTTCTGTTGGACGTTTGCATGGTCTCACCATACTTGTTGACAGATGCTCTGGTTCCCATCCAGATTTCGCAGAGATGCTAGTTAGGTGCACTGCTGTATTGACATCTCTTAATTGCCCAAGTGTGCCTGTGTGTGTGACTTACTCTTACACAGGACTGTTGTCCCAACCAGGGCGTAGTCCTGATTTGTTACTATGCCTTCAGAATTGGCTCTGGGTTTTGCAGCTCTTACCAGAACCGTGCAGGATTTAATGTGTGGATGAGTGGTAAGGGATCCTATGGAAGTGGACTGAGGAAATTACAGGAAGCTACCTAATAACATCTCCATTATGTCAAGTTGAGTGCATTTATGAAAGCATAAATATTGCAATAAATACTACTATAAAATAAGTATTGTGGCATAGTGGAGTACTGTGGATATGAGTGAAAATTAGATTCTTTTCTGACAGAATAATAGGATGAAAAAAACATTTCATACAATGTATATCTACTGTTTAATGAACAATCTTTTATGCTTGTAAATATATAGAATATGGAATGGAATGTGGCACTCTTTCTATAATGCCACTACTGCCTGCTTGATAAGCTAACCTTTTAAGCTTTTTAAGTTTATTTAAGAATATAAGAAAGGTAATGAATGAGAAGATTCGGTTCAATTAGCCCATTTGGTAGTTTGTAGTTTATTGATCAAAAGAATCTCATATAGGTATCTCTTAAAGGAACCCAGGTATGGGCTCGACATTATGACTGGGCAGTTTTTAATTGTGTTTAACAGGGTAGATTTAATCATTTACAACAAAAGGCAGCAAGTCTTTCCAGGACCTCTGACATGTGTATGACGGTCCATATGCTTAAAGATCCAAAATACAGTAAAAGCAACGCCATTGCTCACATAGAAATGTCATGTCTCTGTGTTTTCAGACTGGCAGAGTCCCGGACCAGAACGGAGTCTTAAGATGCAGCTATAAACTTCATTGTGACTCAGGAGAATCAGCTTCAGAACCGCAGAGTGTCCCATCCATGGGCTCTGATGATCCCAGATGAAGAAAACAGAGACTACAGAAATGCAAGGGGAACTCAGTTTTCCATAGATAGAAGGGAGATGCCCAGTTTTAAGTAGTACGTTCAATGAGGCAAATAAAACTGGGCACAGGTATGTCCTGTGTTACCTTCTGGAATTGCTAAGACATATTTTGCCTAGATCTTCTATAATACAGTGAGAGTGTGCACTGAAGACACACACAATGTAAGTCATGGAGGCAGATTTGTTTCATGGAACTGATTTGTCTTCTGTTGTAATTATACTGTTTTGCCTCAAGCTATTGTCCATAAGAGGGTTCATCTCCTAAAAAATGCAGTGTTATGAAAGCAGCCTTGGGGTCGATTACTATCATCAAGCTCATCTAAATTACTCTTTTCTTAGCTGTACATTACAAGAATTTTAGCAACACTGTATATCAAACTCCAATGTGATTTTATTGCAAGTCCTTTGTTTTCCATTGTGTCCTATTAAGATGATAAATTACAACATGAAATAATAAATTCCTGGATAAAAACTGCTGATAAGATATTTCTTATAATGGCTTCTTTCAAAAGGAATGATGTTTACTTCAGACAATGCGATACAAATTAGTTTTGTAAGTGTTTTCATATGTATAACAGGTTTTAGAAGGGTTGCATCTGAATAATAATAGACCCCGATGTTTCTTAGATGCAGTGGATGCTTCCTCGTTGCTGGTTCTCATAAGATTTTCACATTTTCTGTTTTTTTCAAATGATGTTTTTGTAGATAGATCAGGACATTACACACTGCTGTCACACAGCTCTTGGGTCCTGGGGCTGTTTGGAGTTTGCATGTTCACTCTGTGTCTATGTAGGTTTTTTGTGGGTGCTACAGTTTCTCCCCACTTTTCCAAACCTTGCAGACTACGTTAACTGAAGTATCAAAATGGTTCTGGTATTTGTATTTCCTATGTTGGACTGGCATCCAGAGTATAGCCTCACCCCATCAGAGAATGGAGTAGATCTTAGATAAGGGCCATGGACAGACAGAGGCTAGAGTACATCCTATACACGGCTATGTGGAGACAGAGCCCGGTAGAGTCCATGCAACTTCGCTGTGCCACCGCAATTGCTACACCCCCCAGCACACTGACACACTGACAGTGGTAATCTTAAAGTGAACAGAGCAAAGGCTGGGATTTAGATACTGTATCAGTTTTCACTTTGTGAACTGGATTGGACTCCCAACCTTTTGATTACTAACTGTAGGATCATAGGTCAGACTGATTTTACCCAGTACAACAAGTGTTGGGGAAACTACAGGATAATAAGACAGCACATGTCAAGAGTAAACGAAACATACTGCTGGCTGCATCTGGGCCAGTCAACCAAAAGGTAGCAGTTTTCAGTATTCTTTAACTCATCTTAATAGTCTTAGAAAATTTTGAAATAGCAGTGTCTTTTGTTAAGGCAGATAAATCACAATAAAATTTGAATACATTGGATATAATAATATTACTACAAATTGCAATGTTTGATATCTCATAAATTCGTTTTTTTGTTTGGGCTTTTAAAAAGTGTTACTCCATTTGAAAACGTTGTATATACTGATTTGGTGCATTTTACATCAAATTCTGCTGACTTTTAGGTGTTACTGCATTGAAGATATTTATGTCTCTAGCATGGATTGTGTATAAGTCAACAGACACTGACAAATAAAGCTAATAGATTCTCAGGGCACAGCTCTTTGGAAAGTTATGCTCTTAATCCTTCCCTAATCCTGATCTGTTTGAAGACTATCGACATAAATGTCAAACCTTGTCCTTACTGCACAACATCCATAAACTGGCATGGTTCCAATCTGAGTTCAAAAATAAGGAATGAGACTAATACTGCAGCACAGAGGAAGCTTAAGCACTTTTGTGCTATTAAACACAATATTCTTGGTACGTACATGCTGTATATAGAGATAGACAACAAGCATTTCATGCTTTAATTCTTCTCGATATTATCAGAAAGATGTCTTAAATGCTGAAAAAGTGAATATACATTCTAAATTGGATTAAGTTATTCTAATTAATTTAAGGAACGGAAATAATTGCTGGTGTCATTAATGGTCTGATTATTGTTTAAAAGGTAAAAGGGTACATCAATATGATTTATAAACTTTATCATTATACTGTATTTAGTCAGCCACCTCAGTCCTGTAATATTTTAATATGAACTATCCAATCTCTTTAGATACTCACAAATGTATCAGAGCTGAGTTACCAGAAGTCTTACATTTAAAAAAAAAAAGGTCTGGTAAATATGAGAATGAGAATGTTTCAGCACCAGAAGTGATTTATTTAATGGAATTGTTTGGAGTACTAAGGTAATTGTTGGATATGGTGTCTTCACCCAACAATATTCATTCAATAAATGGCTATATGAGATCATAGAATCCTAATAACTGCTAAAGGGGCTAGATGAATGAATGGCCTCCTCTCATTATATTATGTTCTTAATATAATTAACTACTTTTCTACCACCCATTCCTATTACTTAACCATTCTCATCAGCTCTTCTTCAGCATTAGACGTAAAAAAGGCTCATTATGGTCTCAAAGGTTATATAAACTTGGACACGTCTGTTGCATTTTGTAGCTCCTAACAACTAGTAGGAATAATAAAGTAAATAATAATGACAACAATCTAAACTGAAACCCCATGCTAGCGAATTCCAGAATTCATTAGATTCACTTAAAATGGTAAGACATTATTAAGGGTCAATCTAAAAATAAAAATAAAATAGTGCTACTGTATTTATCTTTTGATTAATGGGTGTTTGTCAGCATCTGATGATGCATTTCTTCATATTACATAATGATTAATTATGTCTGCCTCCTGAGAGATCCAGAATTGATTTCCCATCACATGACTAATGAATTCTGATTTCTGTCGCTGTGGATTAGTTCTTCAGAAACCTTTTTTTGGGAATGATTATCACAAAAGGACACAGAACTGTGGGTGACTCTTAGTCAATTAGGATACATTTCAAACATGCCTATAACTGTGTTTTCCTGTCAGTTAACACATACACCATCTACAGTAGTTGCTCTATTTTTGTAATTCATTTTAATATAATATTACATTAAATTTAATGTAATATTTTGTAATAGTATGTATTTGTATAATTAATTGCTTGCATTTTATATATATTCTATTGAAAATTTCATCCTAAGGGATCACAGATAGCACTTCAAATACAGGGCTTCATCAGGACGATGTGGCAGCCACAGCCACTATATACCGTGCCATGGGACCTTTAATGATAAAATAGTCAGGACATTGATTGAACAGTTGAATGTGTCATCCAAAGGATGAGACTATAATGCAGTACTCCCAGTCAACATACTGGGACATTGGTGTGAACTTTCTGGTGTGAATAAAAAATATTCCCACCTACTGATCTGGAAACACCCTTGGTTAGTACAGGTTAGTACAACTTCAGAGCACAAAAATCATTGAATAGCAAATGCACAAGTTCTCCAACTGGGGGTGTTGAAACTATGTTGTACTCCTAGTTTATGAGAATGGCAATAAAAAATACAGTTTGCTTATGAAATCAGCACTACTATGAGGAAGCGGATGTAACATAAACAGTCAGACAGCCTCACTTATAATAGATAAAATGTACAACAGGAGTTATTGTGGAAAAAAGTCAGAATAGTGTTTCTCTGTAGCTCAACACAATTCCACATTGATTTATAGACAGTAACTAAAGTATACACCCAGTGTAATTCAAACATGCAATTATCAATAATCACTGTGCAGGAAGAAATGATTTGATACTGGAAAAACTATTTTGTCTCAGGATGGGGTGTTCAATTCTCAGTTCTCATCTGCATCATTGCAGAAATTTGCTGCGACCAGTTCCACAGTTCTTTTTTTGATAACTAGCAGGATCAACATTAACAATGAAGATGCTACACTAGGTGTATCAAATTATATTATTTAAACCTCGGTACCTTGTGTAAATTTAACCTCAAAGGGAAAAGAAATGTTTGCCCTCCCAGTTGTTCAGTAGTAATAGACTCAAATTATTAAATTAAGCTACTGGGTGAACACTTGCAAGACAGGACATTGTGCTATATGCACTTCTTTTTTCTTGTTTAATGTCTAATCAGAGCAGTTTAAATGAGTAGCTGGTGACTGTGTGTTATAGGGTAACTTATTGTTTCACGATAAAAGGCTTCATAGTTTTGTTCTTTGTTCCAGAAAGAAGAAAACATTCATTTTCACTTATTTTCAATGCAGCTAATATTTTATCACATAAACGGGTTTTGTATTTCTATATTATATTTCAAAAGACAGCATTTTGATTATGACTATTTTAAGCTGTAGTTGGCTATTTGGAACAATATAATTTTAACATTTCTCTTTTTTTCAAAGATTAAATACTAATGGATTTAAACAGCTGCGTATTTGCTTTAACAACCACTTGAAATTCATGACATATCATTAAGAGTCTAGAAGCTGAAATTGTCTTGAGTCTATTATAGATGTACACTTTTTCTCATGCTATCATATTGGAGTAAATGTTTTTGCACTGTATATGGTTAATTAGAATATGTGATGACCAGTGAAAGTTATTGACTGAATTCCAAATACTGTACATCCTTGATAGAACAATGGCCAAATGCAGGAAATTAATTAATAACAAAACTAAGATCAGTTTCTACTGAGATTCAATACTGCGCAAAATCAATGCAAACTAGTGTTCAGAAAAAAAATCTATAGTTTATCTGAAACAAGTACCAGAAACCTCTGTAGTTTTAATTTCCTATTTTTTATGTTCAGTAAAAGTAGGGATGTGTGATCTGTGTTTTAAAAATGTCTTGCAATCTTGATTTATGTCTGCAGTGTGTTATTCAATGAAAGGTGCTTTTGCTGAAATCTATGCAAAAACAGATTTCTAATGACAAAAATGTGGTAATGGACTTTTTAGTAATCTGAGCACACTGAATTTCTTGTTCCTATAAATGTTGCTTTGAAAATGGGACTTTTGAAAAGTGTTTAATAAGCAAAATAAACAAGTTGTGCAAATTAAAGAAATAAACTGTTTAATCATCTTTCTTGGGAATGGAAGGCTTTGTAAAACATTGTATAAATATCATTCAGTTACAGATAACTGAAGTACTGATCATTTTTCGGAATACATGAAAGCTGGGTTCAAACTCGCAATGCCATTGTTCTTCAAACTAGGTAAGGAGTTAATTCCATCTGCTACTGCTAAAGAAGACTGGAGATTTTCCTTGTTAAATTCTGTAATCTAAATGGGGGAACTACAAAAAATATACATTGGCTTACAATTGATGAATGTAGCTGTGACAAAATGCAAATACTACTGAAATGTGTCCTCTAAGGTACAGTAGCTGAACATTAGTATGATTACAATTTATAATGGATAAATAAAACTGTGTCCGAGTGCAAACTTGAAATTTGTAAGATCTGTACAAACAAAACAGATTAGCTCATGACATGTATTACATGTATGATCAACATCCTAGTCTATTT